GCGTCGAGGCCATTAATGCCACGTCAATTTCTGCAATTGCACAATTTCTGGTTATTTGAAATCGAGGGTATTTTAACAGCTCTAGTTCAACTTATTCCGGGTTGGAGCACGAGAAAGGCGATTCGATCTGACTGTACTCATGCACGTAGCACATCTCTGCAGGCCAATATCCTGATTTGTAAATAATATTTCAACATTGATGTATTCTTCTTCGTTGCGAAGGGAAGTTCTTCAACACCATTCCGGATTTTCGTTCGAAATTTCTGAGAGATTATTCGCAGTGCGAAATGGATGGGCGTGGACATTGCAAAAATCTATGAAGTATTTGGATGATGTTCGAGCCACTATTCTACGGCGTGCGGGAGCCACAGCTGAACGTACTACTATGCCTATGTATCGACATCGAAAACAGCGTTATGTCAATGTTAATGATTGGATGTAGTACCATATAAATACACGATGAATGGATCACACACGTCCTTTTATTTGGAAGTCTCTTTTTGCAACTGCCCCTTTTTATTGAAAATTTTCAGTTCCACACTGCATGATGAGAGCTCCACTTCTTCTTCTTCTCGTGGCTGCTTACGTGAACACTAAAACTTTCAATGTGGAAAACTCTAGTATAGTCGCAAGAATCAAAAGCCGCATGGAAGGAAATAAGACCAACAAGGCGCAAAAGCTCTTGGCAACGTATTAAAGAGGTACAAAACCTTCTTCAAAGTTTATTGAAAAGTGTCTCATCAGCTGCTTTCACTACTCGCAGGATTTCAACATGTCCAAACTCGAGGAAAAGCTGAGCGAATGCGAGGAAACGTCAGAAAGGAGCCCGATTTGAGTCCAGAACAGAAACTGTTTCTGGAAAGAATGGCGGTGGTAAATCCTTCTGTTCATTCTTGAACATATACTAGATCCTGTCAAGGATATCAGGTATAGATAGGAATACTCTGGCCATTCCAGTCTCACAACGATAACGTGCGACGAAGGGAGAAATCAGTTGAGGATGTCAACAAGAAGTGTGGAATAATAGACGCATTGTACCAGGGAGACATGCTTCTTTCCAAGTTCGTTCCTCACTCCTTCAAAGCAACAACCCAGATTAGGTCGTGTCGAGGAAGATAGAGTAACCCACGAGTATCACACATGTGCCATAGTCGCGACTCCAAAGTGCGCGACAATGGCGCTAGGGCCTTAATAAGGTCTGATGGCGAATAATGTGCACTTACGGACGAGATGCCTCGCACTCGCCCTCACGCAGCGTGAGTAGGGGTAAGACAGCCGATAGGTAGAGAGATATGGTGGCGTCGTCACAGTGATGCGGTTGCATTCGAAAAACTCTTCTAGACACGTCCTTCTCGCATCATTATTATCAGTCGTCGTTGACTCCACCGATAGGAATTAGGGTAACTGCTTTAAAACAGTTCGTGCAAAATCAGTCATCCTATTAGGGAACAACGGGACGAAATTACTGCGGATGCTGGCGATAGTCGTTCCAAACGGCAAGCCTACAACGATACAAGCTATCCTGGTAGGAGATGGCCAAAAGGAGTTTACTACTCACTTGATGGAACCTTAAGTTAGTTCTCATGGTCTCTTGCTCACATATTAAATAAATTTTTCCTCAAATTGTTTCAGATGAAACGGCAAAAAGCTGCCTTCAGGAAAGCGGCGGAATTGTGGATGAACGACACGTGTATTGACTTCATAGAAGACCATGACGAAGAAGGTAAAAAAGTGAAACTATTCGGTAGAAAGGTTCTTTAATATGGTATTACAGCTGAGGACCTTCTTCTTGTGTTCAGCGAATATGGATGTTGGGCAGAGGTTGGCAGGCAGGAAGGGATGGCAATTACTCTCACTCGGCAAAGGCTGTGAAAAGGTACTGTTTCACAGATGTGCCCGAACGAGCCTACGTTGCCTTCAGAAGCATTGTAGTAGCTGAAGTAATTCTCACAGTTTTCTTAATACTAATAACACATACTACTCTTTTTTATTACTGCCACAGATTGGAATGGCAACTCACGAGATTGGTCATGCCCTTGGATTCTGGCATACGCATTCGAGGCATGACCGTAACAAATTTATCACAGTTCTCAAAGACAACATCAAGGTAATGTTTGCGGACTGTATAACAGAAAAGTAACGCTGTGGATGGCTCCAGCCTGCCCAACGTAGACAGTTTGTAAGGAGATCGAGGAAAGTCAATAACAATTATAACATAACATATGACTACGGTAGCGTTATGCACTACGCAGCAAGAAGGTAGGCCACCTATGTACAGAAGCTCTCGAAAGTCTTTATTAGAACTATTTTTAAACTGCAATTTCTTTCTTCCAAATCAAAGTCAAAAATTAATAGTGTTGAAAGCAAGCTTTGTCCACTTAAAGTGCGTATCAGTGTTGAGAGAAAAGGTTAAGAGCGAAAAAATATAGACTAGAGATAGTATGACCAGATTCTAAGCGGGGCTCTGAGATATTTATCGATTACTGTAAAAACCTTACAATTCAACAAAGCCATCGACAGCATGATAAAAACACATGCTCAGCTATGGAATCTGTTAATGAATTCACTGTCTATTGAGACTACTCCCCCAATTCGTCCATTACTCTTGGCTATGTTTCTCCCAAAAGTCCCCTACCCCTTTCAGCAATGTTTCAATGGCGCTCAGGAATGTGGGTCTGAGTGATCCATTCGTTAAAAGCACGTCATGCTGTCGAAACCACTTATTCACAAAAGAATTGCTATGCTTTTGGTCTCTTTATTGCTAGAAGAGGTACGCATTTCCTTCTGGAATCTATCTGAATACGCGCATTCACCTCATGCCGAGTCCTATGCAGTTGTTTAGCATCTTTTACAAACCACCATAACTGAGCCTCCTTTTAGTTTCACGAATGGCGGTTTGGATCGAAAATTTTTCGTCAAGACCCCACATACGCCTATTGCTCTCCCCCGCAAGTAACCAAAATTCGCTGTCGTCGCTACAAATAAGTATAAGTATAAGTTATTAGTTGATAAGAACACCGGGAGAAATACATTGCACAATTTATGAATACATGACTGACAAGAAATAACTACAAAACACCTATATTTTAAGAACAACGAGCTTTGGTAATCAGTCTCAAAAAATGCTATGAACCTCTAGTTCTGAGTAATATATTAGATATTCGTCGCTTGAATTGTGCTTGTGTTAAAGAAGCGGGTATATTTTTCGCTATATTCAAATAATCACTACCGGCTCTATATGTGAAGTTCTTAGCACGCACATTACTCTTGGGTCGCGTTAATGATATTTTCATGGATCCACCTCTAGTTCTCGAATATGACATTTTGAAGACATTGGAAAATCCAGACACATAATAATTCTGTACCAGTTTATGAACAAAACATAGGTCAAACACTCTGCGCCTCCATTCAAGAGATGTCAGTTTGAGACTATTATTCCTGGTAGCCGCGTTCGGTATATTATAGTACTGGAAACCTCCCATTCTAATGAATAGTTTACGTGTAAAATTATTTTGAACTTTTTCAATTGCGTAGATGTGTTTCTTTTTGAAGGGGTTGAATACTGTAGTGCTGGACTCAACTAATGGCCTTACGTAAGACTTGTATGCACGTAGTAATGCTTTTTGGCCAAAGATAACCCTTTGAAAATTTGAAATGTACGTAAATGGGCTGCTTGAACCCTTCTTTTTATATGCTCCGAGAAATCTAATTTATCGTTGTAGTGAAAACCTAAGTCTCTGACTGACTGTACAGCAGAGAGGGGAATCCCATTAACAGTGTATGAGTTCACTGAGGGTGGAATGCCGACAGCTAACTGCATGTACACCGTTTTATGTGGAGACATGGGTAGTTGCCATTCTTCAGACCAGCGTACTGTTGCATCGACTGCCTTCTGCATACTATGAAAATCACCGATGCTCAGTATAGGCTTATAGATTTTCAAGTCATCAGCATAAACCTTTGCAGTGACGTGCTTCCTGGAGCATAAAAGGAAGTTCGGCTGTGAAAATATTAAACAGTATCGGTGATAGTACACCTCCTTGAGGCACCCCACTTTTCACATGTTTAATGTCAGAAAATGAACCATCAATTTTAACCTGAAACGTTCTACCTTTCAGATAAGTCGAAATCCATTTGATTATAACCGGGTGAAAACCAAGATTAATATTATATTAAAGATTTTGATAATCATGAAAGCATTGTACTTGTCATAGTTGTCAGTTTGTCTAGCCATATGGAAGAGACATTCGCGGTGCTCCCACATTCTCTGTAGATGACTAGGAAGCTGGACTGATTTGAGGCAAGGGACTCTCTCCCAAGGTACATAGTAATCGATCGCTTCGTGTAAAATAGATAGGAAAAATTCATACTTGTCATTTACATTACTTTTGGTTTCAAGCAAAGGGACCCAATGTATCTGAGCTAGACTGGTACGAAGTTGATCAAAATTACACCTAGAGTATCTACGTTTATAAACGTACACGGGATAGGACAGCTTGCACATGATTTCAAATTTGATACTGTTATGATCACTCAAACCAACAGGCGGTGACACCGTTAGGCCTTTAACCAGGTGTGAAACATTAGAGAAAACAAAATCTAAAATACTGCCTCTTCTGGTGTATTCTTTTACATGACGAATGACGTTACAACCTGTGGTGTTCACCTCCAGTTCGGTGTTGTAAATTCATTCATTCCCCTACCACCTCACAGTCGGACTCGGACCTAAACTGATGCATTCAGACGTATACAGTAAGGTTCCAGACGTGTTCTGTATCCACACGTATGGCGGCTGCACGGTACTGACTTGTTTTCACAAGAAAGCGGCCACAAGCATCGCACCCCTTTTGTGAAGGAGTGGTATCAATAGCAGATAGATAGATAGAGTTCTTTTAACGAAGGGACCAATTCAGGCCCATGTCCTGGGCGTCATCGTAACACTATGGAAAGGGGCAGGGAAACCTTCGGAAGAAAAAAGTGCTAGGAATGCCGTCAGAAAACCCGTCAAACTTGAAGAAAAATTGAGGAGGTTGATCCCAATAGACAGTGCATTCATGACTGATTCCTTACTTAGGCCTTGTTAGTATTTCAGCGAACCCAGAAGATCATTAACAAAGTATTGGATCTGCCCAATGTTTTTCATCATGCGTAAGATTGTTTTGTTGAATTGTAAGCCTTTTACAATAATATTAAATTTTCTTGGGTTTCATACCAGCTCATACTTGGAAATTTCTTCAGGAATGTTTCTCATCCTTACCTCTTTCTCTCATCCAGCACTGATATGCTAGCTGAGTGAAGACTTGACTTCAAAACATATCAAAAACTGAACGGACTTGCTTTGGCAAAAAAGAAGTTACGGTCAAAACAGCAGTCCACAAAAGGCTCGGGCGCTACTGAAGGTGTCTTTGTACCTGGCGAAAAACAGCAAGGATAATAATATAAATATAATATGATATATATAGCTTTATTACCAACGCTTCCTTCATGAGGGAAATTTCACGATATTACCGAAAGATCTCAACTACACGGAGACTCTAGGATCGAAATTCATTGCATTCTACGATCTGCTTATGATGAATACGTACTACAATTGTACTGGTACGCTTCTTTCAGTAACGTCTACGTTCATGAAAGCTCAGAGAAGGGTGTTTCAGACATGTGTAAAAATGAATCCAACGCAGATGAAAAGTGCAATGGTGGATTCCCTCATCCACGTGATTGCTCCAAGTGCATCTGTCCCAGCGGATATGGTGGAGAGTTCTGCAATGAAAGGGTGACTTCCCTTCTTTGCTCAATCCCGCAAATCCTTTGAAATTATTTTAGCCACCAGGTTGCGGTGCAGAGCTCAATGCCACCTAATGACTGGCAATGGCTTAATGATTCACTAGAAGATGCCGAAGTCGGGCGAGACGGTCTTCAGAAGTGTAACTATTGGATTCAGGGTCAGTATTTTCCGGGTAGGACTCGTGTATAAGTAGGCATATTTGAAATTTTCGAATTTTGAGGCGCCCAGTGATAGAAAGATAGAAATAAGAGTCGTGGAAGTTCCTGAACTTTTACTACGAAGGATGCACATATGCTGGTGTTGAAATCAAGACACATTCTGATCAACGTCGAACCGGTTACAGGTACAAGTTAGCAACAGTCAAATGAAAACACAAACAGAAATTACACAGATCTCTTATAGATTCTGTTCAAGTACATTTCTTGACACGACACTCATATCGAAGTCCAACTTGGTCCCTGTGATAACATATGTGCGTGAAAGTGCTGACGAAGACGAAGAGGAGTCAGACAAGGACTCGGAAGAAGATCTTGAAGAGGAGGAGAACGGCAACAGTGGCGACGGCTCCGATGAGGAAGACGGAAGCAATGGTGAGGAAGAAGATGACGCCGAAGATGAAGACGAATTTGAAGACGAAGATTATGACGAAGAATATTCCTTTACTACCACAAAGCTGATGTATCGATACGTTTAGAGGAAAAGGGTTCATAAATAAGGTTTCTGGTCATCCTAATTTCCTGAAAATTAACAAACTTCATAATGAGAGTCGTATAACATCATTTTGGAAAGCTCACTCCGAACATGCTCAGCTCCAAAGTGGTCAACACAAGTGACACACAGCTCAAGCTATCGGACTTCTTTTATCTTATAGTTAGCTTCCTGTGAAAATCACTAATTAAGAGGTCTCCAACCTTTTTGCCTTCTGGAGTCTTGTGTTACCACACCATCTATTGGGTTGACCCATAATTTCTGGCCGAATTTCAACACTTTGATTTATTCAAGTTTTATCTTTCCTAAAAAACAATTGATCAAAAACATAACCACCATCACTGATATGCACCCACTTGCTAGGGAACGAATGGATGCATTCCTCCCAGAACGAGAGAAGCTGTGAGATGAAAAGCTCGAAGAGGTCGTTTTGGGGTAGCTGGTAAAGCCACAGAAAGTCTGATTTCGAAGAGGGCCACAACAAAGAACTTGGAAACATTTCGACGCATTTCACCTGCTTGCCATTATGCACGCCTCCCTCTTCTGAAGGCCTTCTTCAATACAATAGTTGACAGATTTCAAACATAAGCTAGCAGTTCTTGGTGATGCTAGTGGCTAATTCTTTTTGAAGTGGATTTGCTCCTTAAGGCTAGTATGTACTCGTTTTTCAATGATATAATGTCGGTTACCATAGTCTTGGCCTACCCTGGACACTACATGAATTTCTTATTTACCATCCTATCATTAACAAGGTTTTGCAGGATGAGAGATAACCGACTTGCTTTGCGCTCGGAGGAAATATCGTGGTATGCACAACTAATTTTGTCCTCGGCAGCTTTGGCAGATCCAAGGGCTTTCCTGGTTAAGGCTTTCCGTCCCACTGCATATTATGATCTCATTGAGAAGGATTAATATTTACAGAGCGTCCGGAATCGGTGACTATATTATAAAAGCACGCTATGTGGTTGCAAATCATCTGCTAAGAATAGGTGGGGTGCTTTTGGTCGCCTCTTTTGTGGAAGAAACGATACAGGTGCCATACGAGAGGGTACACAGCACCTTTCAGAACCTACCTGCATACGTCTGCATTCACGACTTTTCGAATATTGTTAATTTGCCTGCGCGAAGTGATAGAGGATGGAATGGAAAGCGCAAACCTGAACTGGTGGTCCGCGCAGTGGTCTAACGCCACTGTGGAGCGAAAAGAATTTGGAATGGTAGCGGTAACGGCACTAGGTATATATGGCTCTAACGGAGAACGTTCCCATCCAATTCTCCAACTGCCACCCTTCAAATGAGGCGAAGGCTCGGTCATGGTGCTCCGCAAGAGAAGTGGTTACCAGACCCGCATCAAGACCTGCTAAGAAAGCAAACTGCACCAGTAGTTTCGATAGCATTGTGTGTTTAAGGAGGGACCAACTCGGACGTTTGTCATGAGCTTCATAAAAACACCACGGGAGAGGGAGAAGAAACCCTGAGCAAACAAGCCAACCTGGAGTATGAACGGGAAACTCGTCAAATTTCGAAGGATGTGGGTGGTATTTGTCCAATTGGAAAGTGAATTCCATTAACTCCTTGCTGAGACCTGTTGTAGGCTATAGATGGTACCTAGACTAGCGCCATGTTGCGTAGAAACAGTTACAACTGGTTGTCTTACGCAACAGTTGGCGCTTTGATTTGTTCTGTTGAACAGTATTGCGTTGTTGCAATAGTTTAAATTTGATTTGGTCATATTGGGACTTTTTCAGTGTAAATGATTTTGTAACATTTATCACATTCCCATCCTTTGGCACAAGAAGTTGTGTTGACCTACAGTAAGGACGCTGCCTTCGGATAGTGTTCAACGATTTCAATCAACTTGAATAGTACTTGAGTTCGAGGGTCGCTACTGGTCTGTATGTAGTTGTAGGTCGAGTAGAATGTGATTCCCGAAGATCATCGGAACTTCATTGGCCTCTAATGCTTATTGGGCCAGAAGTTTCTTTCATACACTTCGATTAGACGAGTATTCAACACGGTGGATGGGGAGGAGTACAAACAGTGTTTGATGCGTTTCTGGTAGTTGTTATGTATTAGGTGTCTCATATAGTGTCGATTTTTCAGTTAATCAAAAATTTTTCAGCCTGATCCACGCTTGTACATGGAGTCATTGATTTTCGAAAGAGAATTGCCTGCTCTATAGATGTGTAGTTATCGTATAAGTGTGGCACTTGTTTGGTTGCGTCAGAGGCGATCTACCAGTACGTTGCACTTGTTAGTGTGCTCTTGCATAGGAGAGTAACTAAGGCCAGTCCCACGAGTGCAATCAATTGGGCGAAAACCTTAGCAGTCAAGCTATAACGGTTATAATTTGCTTTGCGCAGAAATCGAGGGTTCCAATCTCGAACACGGTGATAAACGCGCTGGGTACTTAGCTGTAGAGTGACTTCCTAGGAGACTGACGCTCATGTCCACTGGTGGGGCCCCTATTCGAAGAGACGTCATTGGAATAAGATTGCATTAGGCCTGTATTACTATGTGCTCGGTTGTTGGGGACGTGAATCAGCTGAGCCTGATCGCGGCATATGTACGATATTCGCAAGATTCATTCCTCTAAACATAGTTGTGTTCCCTCAGATATACTTGCGCTCAGGTGGTAATCTTGTTGGGTATGACATCGGTGTTCTCTCTCGCTGCTGATATCTCGCGAGAGTTGATATATATGTTTTTTGAAAGATGTCCCAGGAGTTAAGCAATTGCTTTTCATTTAGAGTGGTTTCTACGACACGGGTCGCGTTTGAGAGGTTGGTCGTCGTGGATGTTGAAGCGAGTAATTAAGGTTGTGACGAGTTATGTATCTGGTGAATTGAGAAATGGATATAAGTCTCCGCGATAGTTTATGACTAGGTAATCAACCGGCGTTATAATTAACATAGACTGCTCTCGGTCGATGTACTTGTCTAGTTCGTTTTCTTACTGGTACTCTCGGATTTTCACAATGTTCATCGCGTATAAAAATGTAAGAGGGTGGACCCATAGGATCATCTAGATAATGGTGGTCTCGAACTGGTGAGTGGCTCTCGCTTAGACAGCGGAAATTGATGCCTGATTTCGCGCAAGGACATTCAACAAACGGGTTCAGTTCACAAGGGGTGGTTTTTGGGAGGCTATGTTGTTTTAGATATGGTGAGACTGAGCGAATTTGGTATTAAAGAATTTTCTTGTTGGAAATGATTCCTACGTGGTGTGTGTGGAATGTTAGAAGAGGTCATTGCCTAAGTGTAGAGGAGGGAGCCAACAGTATGGATCGGTGTTGTGACTCCGTTGTTTCACGTCAGGGGACGAGAATTTTAGAGATAGTGTCGGTTTGGTTCATTTTTTGTCGGCGTGTGCGATGCCCATTTCGTCTCGGACTACAATTTGCACAGACTCATGGTTTATTGTAGTGATTGGGGAAGCGATTGCAATGGGGGAATGAGAGCATCTTCTTCGGCTTGTACTCTGGTATTGTTCATTGGTGCTTTGCGAGATCGGCGGTGTGGATGGAGCGTTCTATGTAAGAACTATTGTGTGTTGGGGTTCAGGTTGGAAATTTTTTGGTTTGAAAAAAAAGACGGCACCTGCTACTGTACTCATGGATTCACGTAGACCTATTAAAAGATAGGCGTTCAGAGCATTCGCTTATCGAAGCGGATTATTTTAGAAGGATGCGATGAAACTCAAGTGGGTGTCCCGCAGTCTTTCGCTCTCGGGGATGATCTGCTTCCGCTCTTCTGTTTGCGGACAGCGCGAAGAACTGATGTTGGATAAATTTTCTCTCATATAGTCGCTAGAGAACACTCGCTTCGAGAGAGGTGAGTAATAGAGTTTCTGAAGAGCCATGATTTATAGGTACCCGGTCAACCGCCGGGACCTTCTTTCGGCACCTTGCGTTCATGTCGCGTGTTTATCCTGACGACGATAATGTCCCTATACAATCGTGTGCGACTCGAGATGTAGGCCCACACCACGCGAAGAGTCGGATCTCCGGGGGTAGGCAAAACGCGAGATGGTTGTTTCTATTACGAAGTAGAAGTGACAACAATGGTCATAAATGACGGATTATACGAAGTTATACGAAACAGGACTATAGCAGTCAAGCGACTTCAGAGCACATGGAATTCACTCCAGAAGGATAACACCTTTACTGGACCGCTACAACGAAATCTTTGAGGAGCAATTGTAGGCCAATATCGTTGAGAAGGTAGAAGACGAACAACAGGTGACAGGCAATCACTTACATTGCCTTCCTCATCAAGCGGGTACTAACCCCTCATGAGGGACAACAACAGGATCCGAATCCTGCTTGTTGGCTCATGAGGGACATAGGATGCCTCGGCGCACTTCAAGGATTGTCCGTCTTTGAATGACACGTTGCATAGAGGCCCAGTCATTCTACCCGAATTGTTCGGTGTCCTGCTAAGATTCCGGGTAGGAACAGATTTGCTTGAATCAGATGTTGAGAGAAGAGTTTTTTTATAAAATTCGCTGCGTGAGGACGACAGAGACACGACGCGTTGCCTGTGGTTGAAGAACCACACACTGTCTCCATCGAAAGAAAACAGCCAAGTCTTCCGATTCACTCAGATTACCTTTGGGTTGATTGCTTCACCTTTCCTGTTAGCAGCGACCATACAATTTCACCTTGACCAATATGACAGTGATTCACAGTTGATATCAGCAGTAAGGAAAAACCTTTATGTCGACAATCTTATCTTGAGTCGAAAATGCGCGTTCCCTGTTCTGTTTCTTCTGCTACAACCGACTGCCAAGTTCACTCAAATTTATTAACACGAACAGAACACAAAGGCACGAAATGAGGAGAAAGATCAATGAGCGCAGGAGTTGTAGATCGGGGATTAGCTGAGTGAGGGAGGAAAGGTCGAGGGAAGACGAGATCTGAAATCTGAAGTTCAGTAACCTTTTAAATACCCTGTATCAGTGCCACATCAATTCAACGTGGTTTCACGAGAATCATTGGTTCACCGGTCAATAACCGGAACAAACGCGTTGACTTATAACTCGTCAACATGCCGGGGGGCAACAAAAATCTATGGTTCCACTCCATAGTACACTCATGACCCGGACTTACAACTCCTGCATTTTGTGGGTTACGGCCCTAAGTTTATCTCTCATTCTACAGAGCGCTCTTTTTCTATGCTTTCGATTACCCACCCCCTGAGGTCCTTTCAGAGCTTTCCTCTACAGGTGCCGGCAGTCCAGGCTCCTTTCGTTTGTGCGCGCGAAACGGTGCCAAACGAAGCTCTTCCAGAGTCAACAGGGGTTCCAGTTGAGACCGCAGGAATTGGTAAAATGTGCGCGTGGATTCTTCTGACATCCACTCCGTGGCATTTTTCAGTACTCCGACAGCCGCCCAAGCCGCACGCGGGTCCATAACTCCAATATTCTGCTGAAGAACATCCACGATAAGTTGCGCATGTTCCGGCTGCTCCGACACGTAACTGAGAATGTGGGCTCGCATTTTCATGGTAACGTGCTCCCAACTCACTATGTTTACGGTCCTCGGACCATTCACAAGGTAGACATGCGTGCCACATGTAGTCCACAGATTAATAGCTGACATGATCGCAAGCCAGCTCGTGACCTTGCGCGGTTCTTCTGGCGGCAGGATCAGCACGACTGCCCCAAGATCGTCCGTGAACAAACTATCCATCTTCGTTTTGATGGCCGAAAAATCGCCATAAAAGAATACACGCGTGCGACAACCACCGGACATCCACGCCATCCTCCTGAGTACCATGGGCACGACGATTAGAATACGATTGTGTATTCTGTCCATCATTGAATTCAAATCGAAATCATTCTTATCCAGCTTTCTCGCCACTAACCAACCCAACTCAAAAATCCTTTGCGGCACCGTTGGCCATCCCCTCGACAAGGATCCGTGTCTCATAATGGTGGCTGGTTCGATGGCTCTCGCCATTGTGCTAACATGGGCGCATTTTTTTCGAAAGACCGCATATGCAAAACCAAGTGAGCGCGGGTCAACGACTCTATCATCCAAATTCATGATTCGCTGGGTTTTCAGCGCCACCGATCCTGTTTGCATCCAAATGGCGAACACTCGAGCCGCCTCCAACACGCATTCAATGGGCAAAGCCCTGGCAGGGTGAGGTAAAACTGCGATCAAATCGGCCGCTGTCATGGTCTTGGATACGCAGCAGTTTGCCAGCGCAAAACTGGGTCCTCCCTTGAACGCCGGAAAGTCTTGTCCGCGGCATAGTCTTGTCCACGGTGCATGCGTAGATGCATTAGGATGTCCGTGTGGCAACATGTGACTCTCGTCCGGAACATCGAACTCGAGTTCCTTCCTGAAATGAGCAGATTGAGGCCTAGTTGCAGTAATTTTTAAGACTCTCGCCACTCTTCTTTCTTTTAGTTTTAACTCTCACTTGCTCATCGGAAATCTCATCTGGGCATTTTAGGAGTAAGTCATATTGGACCTTAATAGCGTCCTCATTACTTCCTATTTTAGTAATCAATGCCGATGTTTCGCCAGCCTGCAACACACGATATGGGCCCATCCCAGTCCACAGTCAGTTTGGATGTTTACCTCGCGCCTTTTCTCGTGGTAGTTTTATGAATACTCTTCCCCCACTTGGGAGTGAGAGGACGCCACGTCCTGCCGACTGGTCATAAAATTCCTTCATTTTAGCCCTGTATTTTTCATTCTTGGCTTGTACCTCCTCTCTTATTAATTGCAGTCCCCTTAGTAGTTCCGTACGATAATCATCGCAGCGTGTGTGTGTGTCAATAGTTCTGCGGTGTTGGTGTGTGAGTAGTTGTGGCAGACGGTCGAGTGTTTGGGCGGGAAATGGTACATGAGTGAAGGACAGACTGCGATCCATTGTCATTCCATGCAGTAAGAAACCAGAAGGGGCTTTCCTCCTGTAGCTTTCAAAGATGTCGGTGTGAGTGTGCGGCAGGCTGGCGGGCGGTGATGTGTATACGAAGTTATACGACATGAGGTAGCATCACATCCCATTTGTCGGTGTAGTTCCTACCTTCTTCTTCAGCATCCGCTGTATGGTTCCAATTGCACGTTCACTGACACCGTTCTCCCTGGAGTTGTAACCCTTGGTGATGGAATGCTTGATTCCTGCCACGGCTGTCAATTCCTCTAACAAAGAATTCAGAAACTCAGTGCCTCGGTCGGTGTGGATTTGCTTGGGCCAGCGCCCTCCTTCGCAGATCCAACGGTGGAACAAAGTGTGCGGCGTGTCTGTAGGGCGGACCGTCAAGCAGGCGCTTTGTTGATTTTAGTGCGCATTGCATATGCGCCAATCCATTTAGAAAAATGATCCACAATCACCAGAACATATTTCATTCCCGACAGACTGAGTCCCATCTCCAGTGTATCAGCTGCGACTATTTCGAATGGCCTGCCTGTCACAAAAGGTTTCAGAGGCGCTATCATACGTCTGTGAGGGTTTGTAAGTAGACAGCTTGTACAATTTTTCACCCAGCGGTAAATGTCGCGGTGCATGCCGTCCCAGAATACAAGCTTCCGTAATTTTTCTAGCATTTTCTTTGCAGAGTGATGCGGGTGTTGTGGTTGTGCAGAATGATGTCCTGCTAGGGAGCCGCTGTGATTTTCATCGAAAATTTCCTTCCTTCGTTCTTTTGGAACAACTGAAACGCTGGTCCATTTTCCAGAAGAAATTTCAACTGACCGTCTTCTACGGAAAAATCGGCGACTTTGAATTTTTTACGTGACGAAGGTAATTTCACCTCTTTGTCGAGGTTTCCTTCCTCTAATGCAGCAATTATTGGTCCATAGTCGACGTCACTGCGTAGCTCATCTAGCCATTGGGACGTTTCTTGTGTTTCGACACTGCACACTATTTTTTCCTCGTGCCCATAGAGAATTATCCGTTACCTGCTGGTGCATTTACAGGAATACCTCTTTGATAGTGCGTCCGCCACGGGTTTGTTTTCCTTTTTACATGTTTCGATCTCAGACAGGATGTTTTGATAATCTGTTGAACCTCCCAAGGCTCGACTCTAGGCATGGCGGGGTGTGGCGGTATATTCGTCCTCTTCGAATATGGCAGTACGGGTGGCGGTATCGTTCGTTTGTCTTGGTGGCCGGTGATGCACTTCGTGACGTAGGATGAAAGAAATGGAATTCTTCAGCGCATAACACTTAACGCGAGCGCCTCTAAATCTGTTACGTGATAGTTCCGCTCTGCCTTAGATAACCCCTTTGAAGCAAAGTATATTGGGTGGAGAAATTCATCCATCCCCCGTTGGCAAAGCACAGCTCCTACGCCCATATGGGATGCGTCTGTGTATATCACGTAAGGGTTCGTTCCTGATTGTGCTCCTTCCACATCCGGTTGTGCCAATACCGGAGTAGTTGACAACACCTCCTTGAGCTTAGCAAAAGCCTCCTCTTGAGTTACATCGGGTGGGCCGCGGGTGTGGGGGCCGCTGTGTTGTCGCTGTTGCCGCGCGCGGGCCGCTGTCGTGCGTGAGCCTGGTGGGGTGTGTGCGGGCTCCACGTCCATGTATATTTTCGGGCCTTGATAAACTCGAATAAGGACCGGCTGATTTGTAGAAAAGTTCTCGAGAACGAAGTTATACGAGGTAGTAGCTGCACATACCGAGAAATGTACGAAGTTCTGCTATATTCGTGGGTTTCGGGAATTCTTTTATCTTCACGACCTTGTCAGGGTCCACATGCACTCCTTCGGCGTCAATTCTGTGGCCTAAGAATGCAACACACTGTTGAAGAAGTACGCATTTTTGCGGCTTCAAGCGCAAGTTTGCCTTCAGCAGTGCGTCTATAACCATCTGTAATACTTCGTAGTGCCTACTTTCCGATACAGTGGCAATAAGGATGTCGTCGATATAAACGAAGACCTCCTTATTCTTCAAGTCACGCAGTACCGTATCCATCAGACGTTGGAAAACGGCAGGTGATGTAGTTAGTCCAAATGGAAGAACTGTGAACTGAAAGAGACCTTCTGAAGTTGTAAAGGCACTCTTTTCTTTCGCTGCAGCAGTCAATGGTATTTGCCAATATCCCGAGGCCATATCTAGCGTCGAGAAATACCGTTTGCCCTGAAGGCTCTGCAGCATGGCGTCGATTCCCGGTAGTGGGTAGGCATCGTGCTTGGTACATTTGTTTAGTTGACGATAGTCTATGCATAAACGGATAGTACCGTCTTTTTTCCGTACAAGCACTACTGGTGACGCCCACTCGGATGTTGAATGTTCGATGATTCCTCTTTGTAGTAGACTGCTCAGAATATCCTTAAACTCATCACGGGCACCGATAGGAACAGGTCGGGTCTTCTGTCGGATTGGTTTGGTGTCACCCGTGTTAATATCGTGAGTCACTAAAGAGGTCTGTGTCAACTCGCTATCCTCTACAGCAAAAACCTGATTGCTATCCCTTACAATCTTTTGCATCTGAGGTGATAGCATTCTTCCATTTCTATTCTTGACCAACGACTCGAGTAAGGTATCTAACCTTTTCTCTGCGGACATGGGTTTGCCTTGGCTGCATAGTAGGTCTGTTGGGGTATCTCTGAAGCGGAGATCATCCCAGTAAACATTCTCCCATTTACCTACTTCTTGGCCCTTTCTCATTACTATGGGTTCACTAGTTACGTTGACGACCGCTACTTTTGCCACTCCGATATTTACTTTGCACAGACTGTTTGGAACTCTTTTGTCACTCGAATTCAACATTGCTTCCGTGCATTTTTCTTCACACTTGAGGTCCACATATTCAGTCTGTCCAGGAGCTATGAAGACTCTTCGAGCAACGGTGGCAGCGGAATTATTTTCCACTTCTTTTTGCTGT